GTACGATTTTTTCAATCGTTGCACGCCGCTACAGCTCGCGCTGGACGATGAAACGGTAGAGTTTAAAAGTTCTCAGCTCACGATGTTTGTTCTCGCACTGTGTGAACAGACGCACTGATGCGATCTACCTGCTCACACGTGCGACTTAGCTCCGCAGTGAGATGGCGCTACTCGGACTCATCTATCCGGAAGCCAAACGAGTAGAAGAGGAATATGAAGCTCACTAGAATAAAACGCGTTGCCTTGGCTATTTGTGCAATTTTGTGCTGAAAGCCCTAAAAAGAAAAGGCGACGATGTATTTGGACAAAGACATGGCTGAGCAAACGTGGCTACTACGGTCTGTCAATTTTACACAAAGACTTCATTTTCCACGCGTGCTTCTGTGTTTTCGTCTAACAGGAAGAAGAAGAATCCTTGTTTGCACACTGACCGATTTGCCCACGAACACCTTACGACGGCCGAGTGAATTTCAAACTTGTTTTATTTTCGCCTGACTTCACGATTCCTGATCAGAAGGTGATTGTGCGTGGCTGTTCGCCCCTCGTTACCACCTGTACACTATACGATGCACTATCAGGCTGAAAGTCGGCCCATTCTAAAAATTCTTTCACGACTGAAGAATCGGCCCGAAAAGGGTAAAAAAATCGTACAGTGTATGCCCGGCTTTAAAATCAGTCAGATTAGGAAGGAATCCTCTTTAATCGTACGCCTACAGGCTGCTATCATGTTGAATCCTTTTCAGTTTCCTAGCAGAAGGCTAAAGGGTTTTTGGGTCTTATTGATTAGTTGTCATCATCCCCTGTATACCCTGTATAGTGGGTGTGACGGTAATTTATGCTGAGTTCACCATGTTTTTAACCAACTAAAGCCAAACTGGGATATTCTTCCTTGGAAGAACAGCCTTCTGTCTTGACTTTCCACTTCCTCGGACATTAAGAAAATAATGAAGGATTGTCATCACCTGTACTATACAGCCAGAACTAGGCAGAAACCTCTGGAATGGTCAGTCACAAGGCCTCTTCAAGATCATGTAAAGCCAATGCATGTCCCTTTTCTTGTTGTTTTCCTCTCTAGGGTTAGTCTCAAAAGGAATGAAAGATTTTTTCCACTTAGCTGATTGCTCCTTCCTGTTTTTCCAAAAAGGCGATGGCAAAAGTAAATAACCCAGTCCTTCTTTTCACTGTAGACAAGCCATGATCTGCTGTTCTCCATTTTTCATTTGGATGAAATAATAGCTGCATGAATCATGACAGCAGACAAGATAGAGGAGAGCAGGAGGCGGGGTTACCAATCTACTTGCTCTGGAGAGCAGAGTTCGCTGCGTTTAGATGTTGTCGCTAAAGTCTACAGCAGCAGACAGTAGTCACTAGATTTGGCGCTAGGCGCTTTTTTGAAATCAAAGTGCTAGAATGGTCTGAAAAGTCACTAAATAAGGCGAAAAAATGCTAAGTTGGCAACACTGCTCTTCGCATTGTTTGTTTTCAAATGGTTTGCTGCTGTCTGTTTGGACCTTTCTGAACATGTGCAGCAAATGGACTGATCCAATATGGTGGACACTGAAGGGGGGGCTGAGACACACTTATTATAAGCGTTCTGATGGCGTTTTAGAGAAAGGTCTTTTTAAAAAAACATAATTAATGTGCACAAATAAGAAATAGTTGTATTAACCAGACATGTAAACAAACTTTTATGGGGCCCTAGGCAACTGCCTAGTATTGCCAAATGGTAAATCCCACCCCGTGTATTATTTATCAATATCAGCATAAAGAATTGGCAGCACATAATCTCGACTGCTGTCAGATAATCAGTATCAACATCGGCCTAAAAAAATCTGAATCGGTCCATTTCTAACTTTAATGGCTTCAAAATATTCTCCTACCCTCTGATATTTAACGAACATAAAAAAGGCTGTTATTGGGTTCAATCAGAAGAACGTTAATCTTTGCAGGATTCCTTTCCATTTTATATTTTTGCTTAGATAGGTTGAGCAGTATACTAAACATCCATTTTGTACAGAAATGTGTTTTATTTCAACATAAAAACCTGGATCTGAGTAGAGGTGTGTAAACTTTTCAGGCCCCACTGTAGGTCCAGCCTGTTGGATCTTTAATTGTTCTGTTCAGCTCTCAGACGTGCAGTTATGGCTGTTTGTCGACGTGTGCTGCATTAAGAAGAGATCCTGCCGGCTAACTTCCACACAATCAGAAAAATAACGTCTGGGTCTGGATCTAATGAAAGCTGTGCTTCCTTCATCTCAGCTCAGGCTGTTGTTTTTTCCTGCGCGGACCTGCAGACGCGACCTCTTCCTCTCAAGCCAACAAGCTCTTTATTTCCCCTGTCGCTATTCCAATAAGATGCCTCTCCACGCGGCCCTGTTTCTAATAACCTCAGTTAGCCTGGGAGACAACAACCCGGCATCCTTCGAACCTTCGATTTTTACGCTCCGTCTTCCTGCTCTGTGGGTGAAATGGAGGAGGACTGAAACCCAAACAGACGGGAGGTTAACGGCACACAGAACTGAACCTGGACTTGGCACACATCACTGACTGACGACATCTTCTACTCTTATAATACTGGAACGGCTCTCCCTGGTTAAGGCGACTGGTGAACTTCTGTAGAAAATAATGCTGCCTTTTTTTTTTTTTGTCTTTTTTGCAGACCGTAAACGAGGCTTTCAGGGAGGGAGGGGGGCAGTTGAAGAGACTGACAACACTGTGCCATGTAAACGGCTCGACTATGTGAATGTCAAGAACGAACTTTGGCATCTATGCACGGTTTTGGCCCATTGCGCGACAACACTCACGACTATTGATCTCAAAAGAAAAAGGAGTTGAGCAGCAGATTCTGAGCGTCCCGCCTCGACGGCGGCCGTCCGACGTGTGCTTTTTTCCTAAGCAGACCGACACTGTCGAGCCGGTCTTGCCCTGTGCTTACATCATGAAAGCATTCGCTCCTCAGAGGTGATAAACAGTAATGATTCTCCCCATCAGATGCAAACCGCTCAAAGGTTTTTCAACTTAACAATAAGGGATAAGACGAGGAGTTTGAAGAAATAAGGCTCAGCGTACGACTCTCGCTTTAATATGTCGAGCTGGGATGGAGAAAAAGAAAACATGCCTGACCCTGCGAGATACTAATAAAACGAGAGGAGTGCAAAGATTTGTGGTAAGGCTCTGATGATTGAATCGGCTGTACGGCGGCTAAAAACGCTACGCTGATTGTTTGCGTGCGCGCGCCGGCCGGCGGTTCCTGAGGAGGCGTTCGCGCTCAGGGGCTCTCATGCACATTTAAAAAAAGTAAACTGTGAGGTCTGCACAGAAGTGTTTGCGTGTCCATGTGTGCATATGTGTGTATAGATATATTTATATATATATATTTATATGACACATGGGCACTTTTTTTACATCTTTACAAAGAAAAAAAAAAAAGCAAAACATGACATTGTCAGGCAACAAGACCACAGAATAGCAAGTTAACAAACTCTTTTTTTTCTTTAAATCTATACTTTAAATATGAGGGATCAATTCAAAACACTTATAATAAAATACCCATGTTATCAAATTATTTCACAAGAAATACACTGACGCGCTAGGCAGGAAGTACCTTCAGAATTTGGCACTAAACTCCACTGATCAGGTCTTTTTTTTCCTTATAAGACATTTTGTTGAACAACAAAACACATCTAAATATTGTTTCCCACGAGAGAAATAAAATAATAATGACATTGATGCTTTACGAGCTGACATTTTTATATATATATATATATATATATATTTATAGATATATTTGTATTTATATATATATATTTTTGAGGAATTTTATATAGCTAATTAACCAACAACAGATTTAGCAAATAGGGACTCCTTAAAAAAAAACAAAACATAACTATTATAGTAAAATGAAAGGCTTTGTCTATTGTTCAAGTAAACTGATTTTTTTTTAAAGTCTTCTCTTGAGAAAACATGAGACATTTAAGACCGTCAGACTGGTGATGAAACCACAACTAAACTCACAAGAAGCACCGACGTTAACGTGGGTTACAGGTATCGTAGTTTTTTTTTTTTTTTCCTCTATACATTTAAACAGTAGAAAATATAGGTAATTTCATCATGTGCATTTAAAACCACGGATTGTCTATCTGTGAGTCAGTTCAGCAAAAGGTGACACGAGTAGGTAGCATTTCTCCCCCCCAAACAGGGCAAATGTCTTTTTTATTTTTATTTTTTTACCTTTAAACTACTCTAGAAAAAAGTGGTTCTATATATAGACTTTGAATGAGAAACTGAGCCACTTAAAATGGCCTTATCAAAAAACTTTACACTGCCTGAAAAATGTAAAAACCATTAGAGAGCTCTGAGAGAGAGTCTAATATTGGATCAGACAGTTTTTATTCAAAACTGTGTGGAAGTAGTCTTATTTCTCAGAGAAACTGCCGCCAACTGCTTCTGGCGCCGTCTTCGTTTTCTGTTTCCGCCGGCGACCAGAAGCAAGATGACGCAGCAATTCCTGTCAAGTTTACCATAAAATGAAGAAAATCGCATAAAGAAGAAAAACAAAGGAAAGAAACTGAATGGAAATCACTTTACCACAGGTTTTCTTTTTTTTTTTTACTTAAAAAAAAAAAACATTTGTTCAATAAAAATCTCAGTCTTTTGAGTTTAATTTTATACGTATGCAGCTTTATATCTTTTTCACATTTGTTTATTTTCTCCCTCCCTGAAACCCGCCCAGAAAAACACATCCAAATGAGGTCACATGCAAAAAAATAAAAAAATAAAAAAATAAAAACACAAAAGTGAAAACAATTACTTATATTTAAAAGTCCAAAAAAGCTAAAAGCTTAAAAGATCAGTAGGCAGCGGTGGAGGAGGAGGAGAACCAGGTTATGATCAGGTGAGCTCGGAAAAGACATCAGAGAAAACAATGACGGGGTAGGAGGAAGAGGACCGTGACACTTTTTTTGTTTTTTTTTTGTTTGTTTAAAGTTTTTTTTTTGTTTGTTTGTTTTTTTGGACGCCACGAAGACATGCTAGGCAAACGATGAACTAACAGGCATGGAGATGGGTTGTTCTAAAAGGGGGAAAGAAAAAACGGGAGAGGAGATAGTTACACACAGAGAGCCAGAGCAACACACCACAACAGCATCATCTTCAAAAAAAATTAATGAAAAACAACAACAAACATCCAACAAACAATAATGCAAACTGGTAGAACGGCAACACGACACACTGGTTTCATTAGCATTTCTCACAAACCATTAAACTGACATTAATCTTATAGATCTATAGATACGAGCAACATTCACTCATCGACGTATACACAGGAAACATGGAGCACCCAAAGCTAATCCATCAGCGCCAAGATGGATGTCCACGTTTGGGGGAGGGTTCTTTTTTTTTTAAAAGAGTGGGGGTTACAATTTCCATGATTTAACCATTTAATTACTAATTTCATTTTTTTTTTTTACATACGACAGGAGGGGGGACAAACGAACAAAAGACTTTTTAAAACAACTTCAACAGAATTGAAGTTAGAAACGGGACAAATGAAGAAAAAAGTGGGGGAAATAAAGATGGATGAGCGTCACAGAGGCCGACACGATGGGGCGGCTACGACTGACCGGCAGCAGAACTGGTTTCTGCACTAAAAACATCTGATGAACGGATCAAAAGAAGGAGAAAACAGCGGAGAGGGTCGAGTCGAACGCCGTTTACTTTATAGGAGTCCAATAACTTACGATAGGCAATAAATAAAATCATTTTTTTTATTCGTCTGAGGCAGTAAAAATGTTGTATAAAAATAGAGCTGCTTTTTTTACAAATAAAATTTACAGGCCTGTGGCTTTACTGTACTTTGAGTGATCATTTTTAATCTGTCGACAAACCTCAAGTATTTTCAGTCCCCAGCCCCTTAACCCAGAAACTCCTCCTTTCTTCTTCTAGTACCTTTGTCTCTCCACAAATTCTAGGTTTTATATTTCTTTTTTTAAAATTTACATGCTGTTATATCATTTTCACATAAGAGACCAATGTGATCCGACCCAGAAAAGTAAGAACTATTTTTTTTTTTTAACTTGTGAAATAAGAAAAATCTGTATTTGTACATTTAGAGATAATGTTTAGCTGGATTTAGTATATTTATTTTCATCTTCTTGTGGTGGAGTTTAACTTTACTGCAGGCAAACTTTACAGTTAAGAGGCCACGAATGTTTTTGCAGCCTTTTGCTCCCGGGTTGCCAGCAGGCGTCGAGCAGCGGCGGCCTGCAACCAACACCGCGGAGGTCAAAGGGCGAATGTGCATATTGGCGAGCGCGTTTAAAAAAGAAAAATCTGAAAAATGAACCCATCATCAGCCTTCGGGTTCAAAACAAGACACTAAAAAATAACTGAAATAAAAACGGTAGCATGGCTCCTTTGTTTAAATCCTGACTTTGTCTCAAACTAGTCTGTAAAAATGTATAAATTATTCTCTTAACAGAAAAAAACGAACGTTTAAATAATTATTTTTTTTTTAAAGAGAAACTTCCTTCCATTGTAAAAAGAAAGAAAAATAGATTGCACAAAGTAATGGTGGAAATGGAAGTGTTCATGTGTGTCAAAAACTGGAATAAATAAATAATAAATTGAAGGCTTACATAAAAATCTTCAAAAAAAACATGATTAAAAAAAACAAGAATAATAAAAAGTGCGTCTCCCTCAGGTGGTTGTAGATCATCTCCTCCTACCTCCCACAATCCCTCTTTTCAACCCAGCCCTCCCCCGTGCAGAGGCCATGGCTCGGTTGAACTTTTTTTTTTTTTTTAAACCATCACTTTTGTTCTTTTTTTTAAATGGGGGGAGGGGGACTTACCCTAGCAGTGCTAACTGGGGGAGCAGATAGACCTAGTGCTAAGATCAGTAAGGTTTGCTGTCGTTCTTCGAACGCTTCAGCTGCACCTTCAGCCGCTTCATGCCGATCTGGAAGCCGTTCATGGCCTGAATGGCTGCCTGAGCCGACACCGGATTGTCGTAGCTGACGAAGCCTGCAGGGACAATGTGCCACATGTCAAAACACTGAAAATGTATCTTCTGTTCACATAGATAATAAAGGCCAAGAGTTAGCAAAAAAAAAAAGTGAAAATTACTCTTTCTCTAAGGGTGAATAACAACATAATGGTAACTCTCTGAATAAGGTCTTTACAGCAGTAGAGGTTAGCGGCGTTCATCTTTATTTATGAAGAATCGCTCAAAGCAATAATTTATGAATAAAAACTGGATGTTTGCCTGAAATATGATGATTTTGATACCACCATTCAGCTTTTCCATTTCAGTGAGTTTAGACTGATCTTCTCCTAAAACTGTTTTCTAAAATGATCTTTGGAAGTGAGGAAATGGAAATAGGCTGCTTGTTCTAGAACCATACTTCTATGTCAGCTAAACTCAAGAACTCGCTTCTGAGGTCCTCAAAAAGCTTCAGAAATTAAAATGACTGAATACAAAAATGTCCAAAAGTAGATAAAGTTTTGATAGAAATGGCTAGCTAACTTCTCTTGTCAGTTAGCCTAATTTAATGAAAGCTAAAACCTAGGATGGTTACAAGAATAACTTGAATCTGACAAATGTAATAATGAATAAAAATTCACTGAAAATAAACAAATGAAAGTTAGACACTAATTATATGCTGTCTATATGTATATTTGATCAAGAAACAAAGTAAAACAACAGTTTTAGCCTGTTTGGCTAACCTTGACATTTATCTAGCACTAAAATGATTTATGTTTACCAGCCTGGGAGGTAACAATAACTGCATTTAATAATAACCTCAGTTTTCTATGTGAAGAGCTAACTAGAGCTAATCACCTAAACTAGCTAGTTAATACAGATCTTGCGCTAACTAGCTAGTTTAGCACACAAAGCCGGTGTAGGTACCAGATCTGCTCGGGTGGTCAGATCTGCCAGTGAGGTTATGCTTCATGACTGGCTGAACGTTGCCACATCATGTAAAACATTGTGGTTGCTCAGACAACGATAATAACATCACACCGTGTACCGAGTCCAGAGCATATGTAGCATTAGCATTAGTGTGTCTGATGAGCAATGAAGTGTTAGCTGATTGATAGCAAAACTGAAAAAATCTGTTTATGGTGAACAAAGGAACTGTTAGACCATGATATAAGGGAGGATAGCTGGGTAGCACTGTGGCTAGCTGTCTATAGTAGCTAACAGGTTAGCCTCTTTTAGCTCGGTCAGTTAGCCATATTAAGCTGTGCTACTTTTAAATTCATGTCAGCAACAACAACTGATAGTAGAAAGTAGAATAACTTTTTTATTTGTCTAAAATCTCTATGAAAGTCATTTTTAAGATGTTCCATTTTTCCTCCCTGCCTTCAGATCTTAATAAAAAGAATAAAAATAAACTGTTTTTCCAGTGTAGTCCTGTTTCTCTGACTGTGACTGGCTGGATGTGCTCTCTTCATCCTCTGACATGGCAGTTGGCTACACTTAACACTTTCGTCTGTTTTTTGGCTGTAACTCCATCGTAGAGAGAAATCAGGTGTGCTGCTGCCATCAAAACCTTTTTTTTTTTTTTTTTTTTTACAGATGTTGGAGATCGGCCTGTTTTTCAGTGTATTCCTGTTTTTCTGACTGTGACTGGCTGGATGTGCTCTCTTCATCCTCTGATATGGAGGCTGGCTCGTCTGCCTGGCTGTGTGTTTCCTGGACGGGGCCGCCTTTTACAGTTGCTTTTTGTATCTCTGCTTCTGTCTCCTTGAACCCCAGTGGGCCTCAGCAGATGGCCGCTCACACTGAGCCTGATTCTACTGGAGGTTTCTTCCTGTTCAAAGGGAGTTTTTCCTCCCCACTGTCGCTACAAGCATGCTTAGTATGAGCGATTGCCAACTGGTTTTCCTTAGATAGAAAACTTTGAATCAGTTTGACTGTATGATCTGGTGAACTGTAAAGTGCCTTGAGATGACGTGTTGTGAATTGGCGCTATAGAAATAAACTGAATTGAATTAACCTTATTTTGTCACCTTGTTAAATAGCAGAGCTCAGTCCAGCTCTTAGAACGCAGTACTTTCCTTTAAGACTGACAATGATTGTTTTCTACTTTCGGCTACTTTAGATCACCAGTGAAATGTAAAATAATAGCAAATATAGGTAAAAATATGTCAAGACTCTAAAACAGATTTGATCCTTAAGAAACGGGCGCAATACAGTTTGTTCGAGTTGAGTTGCCGTATGCTGACGTCATAAGAAGCAGATCTGGTACCTACACCGGAGACTATTTTCTCCCCTCATGCTAAATCCTCACCTCAATGCTTTCATTTACTGTTAGCCATTACAGATAACAATTTTAGCAATAAAATGTAATTTTATTTATCAAATTTTTAATCTTTAAACTGTGTGTTTCTGAAACGTCTTTGCTCGACTTTCCTAAGTCTTCCAGATTATCAGATGTACCACAAACATGACAATCTTAAAAATAACTGTACCGAAGCATTTGCTAAGGTTTGTCTGTTTGTCGATGAAGACTTTGGCCGACACCACATTTCCAAAAGGCATGAACATCTGCAGGAGGTCCTGGTCTCCAAACTCCTGGGGCAGGTGGTAGATGAAGAGGTTGGCACCTTCAGGACCTGAAGGGGAGGAAAGCAGAGCGGATGAGGACAGGATGGATCTATCTGTGCTGTCGTTATAGGAACCCAGCTCAAGCAAACCACTTAGCATAATGTCTGCTGGCCTTGGATTCGCTGCCGCTTCTGCACAAAACCAAAAAAACCTTAAAATGTTGAAAGCTTTTCATAATTGTATTTTGCTTTGCGACAAACAAAGCAGGGGGCTTTTAATTCATTCTTTCAGCTGCATTTTGTCTCTCTTAAGAGGGGTCACAGGTCCTCCCAACCTCTCTTAGTCTATGCCACCCTAATGATTGTAGTAGGTCAGATCTCTCACTAGCGTTTCATACGCTCTCCACTGCTAAATGAAGCCGTGAGCGAGGGCGATATTCGCCACGTCTTTGTCTCCCTGGAGGGTTTTGAACTCCAGGATGGACTGGTAAATACAGACAGACTCTCTACATATTTTTTGATGCAGAAAGAAGAAACGGTCTCCAATCCGCTCTTTGTTTACCAGACATTTCATCATCTGATTTGTATTCTGCTCTGTTGTCTAAAGCTTTTGGGTGTTTTATTAGCCAGGTTGTGTTTACAGGTGGCACGTCACAGCAGAACAACTTATAATACTACTTCCATTATTTTAAATAAATCATTTAAGTATTAAAGGAAAAGTCCGTCATATTCAGAATTCAAACTTCTGAAAGTACTTTAAATATGAGATTATTACATACTGTTCACTAAATGATAAGTTTTTTTAAGTAAGAGTAATTTTCATTTGAATGTGCTTTACTGGAGGCATCCATGTTTGTCAAAGAACACTACTGCACTGGAAAAAAATCCAAATCTAGATAAGTCATTTTTTCTTCAAATAAGTGCATTTGTTCTTGGACTGAGGAGGTAAAAGAGACATTTTGCCAATTGAGCATGAAAATTGACACTTAGAATAAGAAAATACAATTGCGTTCTCTAATTTCAAGTGCAAATTTCAAGAAATTTTTACTTATTTCTAGATCGTTTTTCCAGTGTGCCACCTTGTTTTTCACGTCAGGGTCTTAAAAAAAAGATAATTAGATAATATGCACTTGGAATAAGACAATGCAATTGTTTTTTTTCTTATTTTAAGTATAAATTGTCTTGGTCCATTGGCAAAGTGTCTAATTTTTTCGCCTAAATTCCCGGAAAAATGAACTTATTTTAATAAAAAATTACATATAGATTTAAATTTTATGCAATATGGTGCACTTTCCAAAATGAAAAACCATGAGGAAAGATCCTAAGACATCGGCCATGAAGGACCCACAGGTCTCTTCCTACGTTTGAAACTGAGTCAGACTCATTCCAAGCAGGTAGAAAAGGTGTGTGGGAACAAACCCGACCCGTTTCAGGCAGGTTCTGAGGGTTTAATCATAACATTAGGGGAATTATTGACAAATACTGATGACATGTATGTAAAACTCTCAATTTGGAGAAAGTTAAATAAACCAATTAATGGGTTTAATTCTACCAGGCAGAAATAATGAAGGTAATTCTAACTGAATATAAAGGACATTTGGTGGCATTTATCATTCAGACATCTAACTCAGTGTTTATGAAGGAGACGCATGCTTAGGAAACCTGCAGCCGCGCCACGCAGACGTGTTACCACAGACTACTGACCCTCCTTCTGGCTGCCGGCGGCCCCCTGCTGCTGCAGCAGGGACTGGCTGTAGAGGGTGGGCAGCGCTGCGGCGGCGTACTGCTGGATCCCTGAGTAGGCCTGCGTCAGCGCGTCCATGGTGCCGGCCGTGCCGTTGGTGAGCCCTGCGCCGCCCAGGCCTCCGTTTAGAGCCGCCATACCTGAGAGCATTTGAGCAACTTTACATAAAACCCAACAATAAAGAAAGGAGAATGCACTTACTCATTAGCGCTCCCACTGAAGGTTGTGTTATTAACCACACAGACACACACAAAGACGCACTGACTGTCACACACCGCACCACAGGTCACACACAGAAAAAAAAAACATTAATACTGACGCACAAAAGACGACACATCACGAGACGAACAGAGTAGAAGGTTTAAAACAGCAGCATCAGTTATGAGTGCAGCTGATGACGGCCAGAGCTGCACAGGAACCAGCAGAGACAGACGGCATGCAGCGCTGCAAGCGCACAGCCAACCAGAGCCAGAGGCAACATGGCCGCTACCCACACAAATAACTACCACTGAAAAACAGATAAATACAGCAACAGATTTTACTGCACATCACATCAGGACAAAGCGGAAACATATGGAATGCCATTTATAGCAATAATTAACATCCATCTAATTGGTACCAACATCAAACTTCAAAATAAATGCAAAAATTAATTAAAATGAATTCATTTTTGTTAAAAACATGAGATTTTTTAAAGGACTTTTTATTTATATCTAAAAAGCTATTTATTTAAATATGAAATAAATACAATAAGTGGTATTTTTATTGGTAATATCAACTAAAATTTATAACTATTAAAATCTAAATCTAGACAAGTCATTTTTTTCTTAAAATAAGTACATTTGTTCTTAGATTAAGGAGGTAAAGGAGACATTTTGCAAATGGAACAAGAAAATTTACATTTAAAATAAGAAAAAAACTATTGCATTGTCTTATCTCAACTGCATATTATCTAATTATCTTATTCTAAAAGTAAAAATACTCATTCCATTGGCAAACTACCTCAATTATCTATTCAAATTAAGGGTAAATATACTTAATTTAAGAGATTTTTTATTTATTTCTAGATCGTTTTCCCAGTGCAGTTTGGATTTATCATATATCAATACGAACCTCAGCTTTAAAGTCAAGGTTCAGTTGGTTTTCCAAACATTTCATGAAATTGAAGCAAATATTATTCAAATTGGTGAAAACTAGAAGGATTCATTTTAATTAGTTTTTAATAGAAAAATAATTAGCAGGAAGAGAAAATAGCTGCATAAATTAAATATTTAAACCACCTTGAAACCATCTGGGTGGTTATTTTTATAAACTGCACAGATACTTGAAATAAAAGATGTTTTTGCTGTGGTTTCCCGGCACAGACATTCAAATTTACGAGGGCTCCCTGAATGCACCTTTTGCATTCAAATCCCACTTTGCTCTGCGGTATCGTGCACTTAGTTAAAAAACAAACAAACGCATCATTCGCTCCAGATATGGACTGAAACATAAGAGCAGTTCGCTTCACATTTGTTTGTTCTGTATAAATACATATATGTTACACATGTTGCAGTTTTTCCCACAAAAATCCAAACTTTTTCCTCATAACTGAAAACTTTAAATTGCAAAAAAATAAAAGCTACTTTTAAAAAAAGTTGCTTCTGTGAAATTTATATTTATATTTATTTAGGGGGCTTGTAATATTGTCTAAAATGACATTCCATGAACCATAAATGTTTAAATACACATTTATACATGAACGTCAGACAGAATAAAATTAGAACAAGTTGTTGGGAAATATTCCTAAATATTTATAATCGTTAATAAATGTTGTCGGACTATCTGATCATGAAAACATGAAAAATGGCTCTAAGACAAATTTAAAACATCGGAGATGCCACCATCTATTATTTTAGGATATTTATTTATTTATTTTCAGGTTTTTACGGCACGCGTGGCTCGTTTTTTGTACAGTAGGCTGACAGGAAAGGGGTACGAGAGAGGGGGAGAGACATGCAGCAAAGAACCACAGGTCAGATTCAAACCCTGCTCCACCACGTAGAGGACTAAGGACTTAGTTGGGGGGTTTTGGGCAAACAACTGCGCCACCAGGATATTTACTTCAACAACAAAAATAAATAAATTACACTTATTACGTTTCTCTGTTGTTTGGCTGTGACTCCATCCTGGAGAGAAATATCAGCTGTGCTGCTGCCATCAACACCTTTGTTTATAGATGCTGGAGCTTATAGTTAGAGTGGCTCAGGTTATTCTGAGCTATCTCTATAGATATGCTGCTATAGGCTTAGACTGCTGGAGGACATAGGCACCCCTATTTCATCATTCTGCTTCATTCTATCTCTATTTTCCCACTCTGCAGAATCTGTTAGTTCAATCTCTAATGTTCTGCTCTCTCAACACCTTTGTTTCTAGATGTTGGAGATTGGTCTGTTTTCCAATGTAGTCCTGTTTCTCTGACTGTGACTAACTGGATGTGCTCTCTTCGTCCTCTGACATGGGAGCTGGCTCGGAGCTCGTCTTCCTGGCTGTGTGTTTCCTGGATAAGGCCTCCTTTAATAGCTGCTTTTTGTATCTCTGCTTCTGTCTCCTTGAACCCCAGTCGGCCTCAGCAGATGGCCGCTCACACTGAGCCTGGTTCTGCTGGNTGCTTCATTCTATCTCTATTCTCCCACTCTGCAGAATCTTTTAGTTCAATCTTTAATGTTCTGCTCTCTCAACACCTTTGTTTCTAGATGTTGGAGATCGGTCTGTTTTCCAGTGTAGTCCTGTTTCTCTGACTGTGACTAACTGGATGTGCTCTCTTCATCCTCTGGCATGGGAGCTGGCTCGGAGCTCGTCTTCCTGGCTGTGTGTTTCCCGGACGGGGCCGCCTTTTACAGCTGCTTTTTCTATCTCTGCTTCTGTTTCCTTGAACCCCAGTCAGCCTCAGCAGATGGCCGCTCACACTGAGCCTGGTTCTGCTCGAGGTTTCTTCCTGTTAAAAGGGAGTTTTTCCTCTCCACTGTCGCTACAAGCATGCTGAGTGTGAGGGATTGCCTTTGAGTCAAGAAGTTGAGATGAGAAAATATTTGTTGTGAATTGGCGCTATAGAAATAAACTGAATTGAAATCGATATGAATGAAATTTGAAGAAAACAGAAATATTAAATGATGTTTTATTTGATTGATCTAAATAAGTGCAATATTTTGGGTCATTTACTCTGAATAGTCTTTGCTGATAATATATTAGATTTAATATTTGGTCAAATGAAACATCAGGGAGAATTAAAGTTTAAAACAAATATTTTAAATGTGTTCATTTGTTTTCCTGTTAAACTGGAGTAGGAGTGGTCAGAGAGACGTTTCCATTGTGGAGATGAACTGGTTATTGACCCTCTGGGTCCCTGAGAAAGTCCCCCAACTGCAGACTGCTCCCCAGGTGCTGCAAGCTGCTCGCTGCTTCTTTATGGGTCAATAAAGGATCCAACTTTTCAAAGTTTCCTCATAGAAATGTTTAAAATAAGCATCAGTTGTGAATCTGGACCTGCAGTTAGCTTAGCTTATAGAGGAAGCTAGCTGGTATGAAGAACATTAGGGGTCCAGGCCACCATTGTCTTCTTTTCCAGCCTGTGATGTCTGCGTTGTGGGTTTTAGGGGGCGAGGGGAGCGAGGCGGTGGGTTTAGTGGTGAAGGAACACTCATTAGCTGCTTGTAATGGCTTAATATCACGGCGGAGGGCAACTTGTCTGAGGAGGTCTGACACCGCCTCGCCGTCCTGTCGCCTCGCCGTCAGACACGGTGAAATAAATTATCACCACTGCGCTGTGGATTATAGGTCACTCATTTATTCGGGAATAATTGCACCGCTGACCTTTGCAATTCAATTAAGGCCTGGATGTGTTTAAATGAGGGCAGCCGATGGCGGTGGGTGGATGGAGGAGGGGAGGGGGCAGCGAGAAGAACCAAAACGGAACGGACCTGTTGGGTCGAACAGGAGTCGAGGCGTGTGTGATTTACACAGCGGGTAGAGCTACTCCAGCCGAGGAGCGGAAAGGTCAGAGGAGAATAATGTGGTGGAAGAGGCCTGTAGTACGGGATCTCTGCTGTCATAACAGCTCTGATTAAGATCCCAACGCCACTCCTCAGAGGTCGAAGGCAGGACGCCCAGCAGGACCGAGGATGGAAACAGGGATCTGCTCCAGATTCCAGGAGGAAATGCTGCTTTTCTAAACCTAAACAAACTGTTTAAGCAGTTAGCAGGGCAAAGGTCAAAGGTCACGACCCTGAAGCAGACTGGAAAGATTCTTCTCTATAAAACCAACATGGCAATAGCTACATCTGGATCAAGGATAAGACGTCTGAAACCAAAGAAGAAAAGTTGGACCACGATGGACAGAACCGACTCATTCAAACCTCCTCCACATTCCGAGAACCAGACTCAGAGCATTTTATGCTGCTGCCCCACATCTGTGGAATGCCCTCCCTGACACCTTGAGGGCTCCTCAATCCACTGAGTGCTTTAAAAAAGGTCTTTAAACACTATTTTTTAGCAAAGCTTTTGGTCCCCTTTAGATGTTTTTCTCTCTTTTAAAAAAAGGTTTTTCACACTTTTGTCTTTTTTACCTTTAGTACTTTCAGATCTTTTGATGGAAATTGCAGTATTATTGTTCTCTGCTACTGACTGGCAAGCACGGTGATGGAGGACTGATGGTTTGGGGGTGTTCTGCCGGGCATTCACTGTACGATTTTTTCTCTCTTTTTTTTCTTAGTTTTTACGGCACTAGTGGCTAATTTTTGGACAGTAGGCTGAGAGGAAAGGGGGTATGAGAAACATGCGGGAAAGAACCACAAGTCAGATTTGAACCTAAGTCGGCCGCGTTGAGGACTAAGGTCTCCTTACATGAGACGTGTGCGCTAACCACCGCACCACTAAAGCACTCTCCTGATTTTTTTCAATCATTGCACGCAGCTACAGCTAACAATTTACGACGAAACCGCAGGGTTGAAAAGTTCACAGCTCACGATATATGTTCTCACATTGCGCAACCGGATGATCTGATGCAATCTACCTGCTCTCACTGTACGTCTAAAAACCACGTGGGACTCAGCTCCGCAGTGAGATGGCGCTACTCGGACTCGTCTATCCGGAAGCCAAACAAGTAGGAGAGGAATATGAAGCTCACTAGAGGGAAATTTGTGCTGAAAGCCCTAAAAAGAAACGCCGACAACGCATTTGATCAAAGACATGGCTGAGCAAACATGGCCACTACGGTCTGTAATAGCCATGGCTACTACGGTCTATACAGAAGAACTCCATTTCACTCACAACCCGCCATGCTGCTGTGTTTTCATCTCAGAGAAAGAAGAAGAATCCTTGTTTGCGCACTGAGCGATTTGCCCACGACTACCTCACAACGGCCGACTGAATTTCAAGCATGTTTGATTTTCTCCCGACCTTACGATTCCTGATCAGGAAGTGGTCGTGAGCGGCTGATTACCCCTTGTTACACCCTGTACACTACACGACGCACCATCAGTCTGAAAGACGGCTCCATTGATAAATTCTCGCACCACTGGACAATCGGCCCGAAAAAGGCAAAAAATCGGGCCGTCTGGATCAAGGATGCCCGGTTTTACAGTTAACACCTGGACCAAAAGTCGGTCTATCCAGCAGCTGCAGTCCGGCCTGAACAGAACCAGGATCCTAAACTGATTTACAAACAGCAGCAGAGGAAACAGAACCAAAGATTTAAACGAGGCTGTTTTAAAAACAGGCGGATCTATGAGCTGCAAGAACTTTATGTACCTGAACCTTAAACCCAGCGGGTGCAGGAACATTTACAGCTGGACACGATGGAAAGAATCGGTTTAATTTCCGTTTTAGTCATAGATCTGATCTGTTTTATGAGACAAACACACACCAAACAGCGCCACCTGCTGACAGACACACGACACTGTCCCACGCAGCAGCAGCAGCTGGGTCTACTGGCTACAGGAAGCCCAACCCAGGACACAACCAGGAAGCAGATGGAGCGGTGGAGGAATGGCTGGAATGAGGATGGTTCAACCAAGAAGTTCTCCATGGACCCGAGATGCAGAGAGACAGCAGCAAGAACCAGTCTTCTACTGGGAGGACTGGGAACTGCATTAACTATTGGTTTGGTTCAGATACGACGTTAACTTCAATTCTGCCCGTTTTAAATATGTCCATGAATCAAAGCGCGTCTCTCTGCTCAGCGGAGGCGTGAGGTGTGGATGGCTGGAGTGGCTGATGGCAGGGTGAATACTCACTGTTGATGCTACCTGCTAGTGCATTGATGTTGTTCAGGCCCACAGTGGCGCCTGCCAGGCCCTGCAGGGTACCCAGAGAGGTCAGAGAGTTCATGGCACCGGCGTTGGAGCTGGCTGTTGTGCCTGCTGCTGGGAGGAGAGAGGAAGACAGAGAAGTGGATGCGTTATATCCAACATTCAGCGACTCCTACGCATAGACGGCTCTACGCAGCTGCAGTTTTTAGGTGCTAGGTGCAGCAATGTAGGATCAGGAGCCCTGCACTGAAAGTATGGGGGCATTTTAGACTTCAGGAACATCTACTATGGTGGCTCATCTATATGTCTGAACCACTGAGCTCCAGCCTTGAAAAATGGCTCCTCATCATCAATATTATTATAACTTTATTGAAAAACATTCTTGTATTTTGTGAAGCATAAAAAAAATGGGAAATCTCTCCTTCCTGGTCATCCCATGTGGAGCTTGTGCCCTAAAATAGGAATAACTTTGTTGTCAGAACTGGTTCCATCACCTCATATTGGGCCAGTTCTCTTTGGGTTCATTTCTGACAAGTTTCCTGAGCAGCGTTAAGCTACAGCCCGCTTGGATTTGCTGGGGCTTTGTTGATATAATACCCTGATGTATTAATCTGTGTCTGAGCTTACAGAAAATAAAGGAAACTTTAGAAATAATGACTAACAAAAGAAATGTTGAAAATCCTTGCCGAAACAGATGAGTGTGTGAGTAAATCAGCTTAGAAACCCAACAAACGGGTTCCTCTGATCAGATTTCAAAGCCAAACTGGAAACTAATTTTCTACCCTGAGGCTCAGAGTTGATTTTAAACGTTATAATTACTGTTTTATGAGATGAAGCCAAGGATAATTTGGTTGTTGGGCCAATTTGTGTTACAATTGGCTTTAAAACACTTTACCCGGCAACAGGTGAGGTTATGGGACGCTGCGGTTGTCAGAAACATTTAGGAACAGACATCTCTGGATTCTGTTAGGTTCCCTAAAAACTTTGATAAAGATGCAAATCAGTCAATATGGAGGTTAGCTGATGCTAAACAGCGCTACAGGTAGCACCAAACTACTGCAGCACTGACACAGAACATTTCTGGAAACAAATAAATGGCCATAAAATGGCTGTTCCAAAGAGTTGATATACATCAGTACACCAGTTCTAAAAATAAAAAAAACAGGAAAAAAAAGATGAGACCAATATGAAAACCCGTCTGTGAAAAAAATGAGTACACCCCTGATTTAGCAGTTGGTAGAACCCAAGTTATCCCTATAGTTATGCTGCTATAGGCTTAGACTGCCGGAGGACATAGAGACCTCTTTTCATCATATCTCTGTTCTATCAATCTGCAGTATTTGTTAGTTTATTTTCTAACGTTATGCTCTCTCTGCTTTTTCTTATCTTGGACTTAGAGAGAAGAGACTTTCTCCTTTGATTCTTCCAGGGTGGTTCAGCCTCAGGACCTTTGACCTCTGAGACGGAGCTGTAAGGTTGTTTAAAGTTAGCCAGGTTGGATCTGAAATGTTTTCCTTCTTGGGATCGCTAAAGGTCCTTCTCTGAGGTCATTGCTGATATCTTCCTGCCTCTGAGCTTTAATCGTCTAAGACTTTGGCCTTTATAGAGACGTTCAAACTCCGTGACGATCTAGGTGCTATAACTGGGGTGTACTTCATTTTCCACACAGCCTTTCAGTGTAGCTTTAAGATCTATGCCTTCGTTCTTCTGTTAAGGTTAGATTTAGATTATTTTCCTTCTTTTTCCTGCAAAGCGACAGGAGAAACAAACAGAAATTTCCCTTTATTGAACTTTAAAGATGTTTCATCAACTAATAATTTGCGTATTTCCTCTCACATATTTGGATCTTAATGAGTCGGCAAAGAAAAAAGGAATCACGATGACAAATGAGAAAGATCCCAAACACACAGACGCACACCTGAGGAGACACTGAGGCGGTGGGTGGAATGGAGGGAAATGTGGCGCAAAAAGCTCGCAACCTTGTTCCTTCTCAGACAACAACAAAATAGAGATTTAATCTATTCATTTACCCTTCAGCTCATCAAAGCGTTGCCAACAAAGCAGGATTGCCGCTGAATATATTAGGAGGTGGTGTGGCAGAGGGAGCATTATGTCAGCACACGTTGCAAAACAAAGACGGTGGCCTGTCTCCATGCAGAACGGTCTATATTTATCAAACTAGAGTGACGTTTCGGTTTCACTGACACATGCAGTATAGCAGCACTCATTCACAGCGAGGAGCTCAACCTGAGTGTGCAATATGCAAGGTTGGAGTGACATTTGGCACCAGAGAGAGAGAGAGAGGCGAAAAGTATGGAGGGAGAGAGTGAGACGAGGAGGAGAGACCAGACAAGAAGGGGCGTTTGGAGCAGGATGGAGGAGGAGGCTGCTTTTCATATTCATGCTCTGGTGAGAGGGCGCTGCTGGAGCGAGGCCGAGCCGACATGAAGGGGGGGGGGGGGATGGAGCAGAAACAGGGAGCTTGTCAGAAAGAGGGCAGGAGCAGGAGATGAGGGCAACAAGGAGAGACGGAGAAGGAAGGAAGCTGAGGACGGTGGCGTTTAACCCCAACATCAACCTGCTGCTTTTAGACGCACATCTACAAGAAGGACATCATCGAAACGCACAGAGGTGCACCCCCCCCCCCCAATCAGCCGCAGGGCCGCCGCAGGGAGGAGCAAAGTGAAAACACAACACCAGAACCGGACTCACACGTAGGCAAAAACGTTCATGCACACACACATCCAGCCGCAACGCTGCAATGAGGGGGCGGCGGCACGCCACATGATGTTCAAACACAGGAGGACGCGTGTGGAACATCGACATGGCATCAGGATGGAGGTGGACACACACCACGGATGGAGGTCGGAGCGATGGCGATGTGTGATGAGCCGACGGTCGGCTGAGGTGACAACAATGGGAACAGTGGAGAGCGGCGTGGGGTGGCCCCGCCCGCCCGAGCCCAGCGGCGTTACCTGGGCTGGCCAACGCTCCCAGGGAGGCGGCGCTGGAGGACAGGGGGTTTGCGGTGGAGGGGCTGGCTGAGTTTTGAGCTGCTGCCGCCGCTGCCGCTAAAGTGGCCAGGTTCTGCAACTGCAGAGCGCTCATACCTGGAGAGAGGAGCCAGAGAGGGTGGTGTCAAAGCTGGGGGGGTCGCCGGGGCTGCACAACCGGCGCTCCGAGGGTCCGCAGGAGAACAGCGTGTATTCCCTTCACTAACACACCTGGAAACAAGCTCTCAGTCTGCTTCCTGCTTCTCCTTCAAACAAGCAGAAAGTCTGAAGGTAAACACTCCAGCAGCTGAGTTCACTAATAAGTCCCAAATGGGGCTGAATCAGTAAAAGCAGCTGCTGTAGCGTTTAGTCCTGGTGTGTTTCTCCCAGGCAGAGCTGCTCTGGAGGCAGAAATAATCAGAGTGATTTAGTTCAACTTATGTTTCTCCCTTTCAACAGCACTCGATTAAAACCCTGCGGAGGGGCTTCAGACACAGAGAGGAAGCTAACCTTTTCTAAAACACTTCTGCAGGCTGGAGCCTATTATATCGCTTTAAAAATTCAACTCCTGGAGCTTCTCTCTGCACCAATATTTACTGCTAAAAGCCATTAAAAACACAAAAACCAATATGGGTTGGACCGCCGGCAGATTATTTACTCCTTCAAAAAAGGAGCAGAACTCTAGGAGGCTTTAACCTTTCTGGCCTGAGCTGACCTACTAACATCCACCTAACATGCACTTGAGAATAATTAACACTTTGATTGGTTCACGTACTGAATCCAAACAGATCCCTCTAAACATGTCAGAGCTTTTTGCATCCGACCATGAAAGGACACCACCACATTCTTTATAGTCTCAAAACCACTGATTCAAATGATCAGTGAAAATTTGTTTTAGGAAATAAAGACAGTCAGTTGTATGGCGTTACATTTATCTCAAAACGTTAGATTATTTCTGCGCACGGTTTATCGACCACCACACAACAAAATCGCCTTTATCTTAAAATTTATAAATTAAAAGTAGCATCCTAAAAGACATTTTCGCCAACAATTGTTGCTTAAATGCCTCATAATAATAATCTCTGGGAAATTACAAGAGGATTTGAAAATCCTCCAAATATCTCGGCTGTTATGTCACATAATGGGACGTTTCTATGAAAGTACAGGTGGTTCTGATTTTTTTTAGCTGCAATCTACAAAACAACCACTAGAGGGAACTAAAACCTACATTTTAACTGTTTTTTTTTTGTTTCGTACGATGGGGGGAGTTGATTTAAAAACATCGACAATCATAACTCTGTGAAACAGTAGATGAGTCTCTGCTTTAATGTTAATGATGATGATCTGCGGTCAAAGCTGTAAACTGCTTTCCGTTAATCTCTGTTTAAGATTAAGATGAATTTGTTCTATGATTATATTTGAATCATTTAATTATATAATCAATTGTTAACTTTTCCTTGGCCAGTTTAATCGTCTTTAAGCAAAGATTATAGAGGATTTTAAATAAACATCGCCACAGTGTGTTTGTAGAGTACGGATGATGAAGTGTTTGAACAGTAGCAGCCATTCAAAATGGCCCTTCCCAATGAAAATCAGCCCTCCATCGCCCTTTCACTGAATTACAGCGTCAGACCAGGAGATAACGCTTCTCTTTAGTCCTCTTAGTGTCCACAAATCATGACAGAAAGAATATTTTAGATGTTTAAAAAGGAATTTTAGGGGCGTCGTATTTCCACCAACACCCCAGCAGACCGAACACACTGCCTTCTGTGGCATAGTGTCCAAACTGCAGGTACCTTGGTCTATTGGTTAAGAGCTGGAACTGCCCAGCATTTTGGGTGTGATCTGTTCTATTTGGATTGCCTCGGGCATCCAGGGGTAGATTTAGGAAGTTTGGGGCCCTAGGCAAAGACAGTCAGAGGGCCCTCTGAACACATAAAACACAAGGAAATTGTACAGGCCAACAATCCCCTTAGATCCACTTAGATCGGTATGGGGTATTGCAGGCTAACAAAAGAAGTCAAATGAACCCCAAATGGGTGGACCCCTTCGTCATTTCAAATTTGTAAAACAAGGCTTTGTTGGGCTACTGTATTAAACCTTAACCTCACATATTTCTGACATTTTCAGTTGAAAAAGCTTCCTGGATGGGAAGCGAAACGTCTTTAAACTTGGAAACAAAGTCTAGTGCATTGTTTTTAATTTTCTTTTTTTTTTTTTTGTTCTAGGTTTTGTCTCTTTTCTTCTTGTTTTCCTCTCTATGTTTTGTACTCAGCTGACTTTTCATGCTGTCTCTAAAGGAATGAAAGATTTTTTTTAAGCACTAAGCTCACTTAGCTGATTGCTCCTTCCTGTGTTTCCAAAAAGTAAATAACCCAGTCCTTCTTTTCACTGTAGACAAGCCATGATCTGCTTCTCTGTTCTCCATTTTTCATTTGGATGAAATAATAGCTGCATGAATCATGACAGCAGACAAGATAGAGGAGAGCAGGAGGCGGGGTTACCAATCTACTCGCTCTGGAGAGCAGAGTTCGCTGCTTTTAGATGTTGTCGCCAAAGTCTCCAGTAGCAGAAAAAAGTTGCTAGATTTGATGCTAGCCGCTTTTTGATATCAAAGTCCTAGAGGGGTCTGAAACGTCAATAAATGTAGCGACAAAAGCGCTAAGTTAGCAACACTGCTCTTTGCACCGTTTGTTTTCAAATGGTTTGCTGCTGTCTGTTTGGACCTTTGTGAACATGTGCAACAAATGGACTGATCCAATATGGTGGACACTGAAGGGGGGGGCTGAGACACACTTAATATTAGATGCGCTCTGATAGCATTTTAGCGAAGGATTTTTTTTTATCAAAAACATAATTAAGGAATAGTTGTATTAACTCCAAGACTTTGGGGCCCTGGGCAACTGCCTAGTATAGCCTATGGTAAATCCCCCCCCCGCCTGTATCCATTACCTGTGCCTGACATGTTCTCCTGACTGGACCGTGACCTTCTGGTCGTTTGTACCTTTTTCTCGCCATAGAAATACAGATTTTCTGCTTTCAGGTTCTAATTTGAAGCGATTAAACTCTCCAATCTATCCATCACCACATTACTGAAGCCCCGCCTCTTCAACCGGACGACAGCATACGGCCTTTTCTTCAGGATAACTAATGACTGCGTGCCAACATGACAGAGAGGAACCAGCAGCATCTCCCTCGCTGTAAAACCTCAGAAAACAAATCACAGCAGAACCGTACAATGTCTCCAACACATGAGCTTGTTAAGGCTAGGTAAGGGTGGAACATATGAGGTGCATGTGTTGTATATACAGCCTGGGTGTGTATATACAGCCCTATGGGAGTACACACATGTAGAGAGACACACAGAAACGACACAGCGAGGAAAATCCATCTTGTTAAACAAAGATATCCTTCATCCAGACAACCAAACTCAACAATGACAACAGATGGCTGAATTCATCACTTGGATTCACACCTCTGATTGGTAAATAAATGGATTAAAAAGGAGATAGGAAGAAAAAGACAAGCCGCTTTGAGAGTTCGGATCTCGTTTTAGACGCTGCAGCCGAGTGTGAGAGCTCCGGGTTTCAGGCGACGTGTTTTCACGCTCGCACAAACGATGTGTGCGACTTCTTCACTTGTCCCTGCTGCTCGGGAACACCGCCACCACCGCAGCCAAAACCAATTGTGTTTTCAGGGCGATTTTCTCCAATTTTCTGTCATACGCCCAAAGCCCAAATGGATTTCTATTTTCAGGGGATGCAGGAACAAAAACAGGCGTCACTCTTTCCATCAAATCCCAACAAAAACACAGACTCACAGCCGTGCTAATTCTGGCCCTGTCTTACTTAGAGGAGGCAGAGAATGGAGCAAATGAGCCAGAAGACGTGCAGCTTTAGAGGAGCTACAACAAATCGTATTGATCTTGTTCTGGAAAGTGGAAAGCAGACCTGATCTGTTTGTAAAATGCAACATGGAGCTGGTGGGTTCCTTTCCTTCTCTGCATTTCTTCCCTTTATCTTTCATCTGGTACTTTCCTTCCTTCTTTACCCATTTTTAATTAATCGTCTTTACTTTGTCCTCTTCTTTTCTCTAATGTCCTCCCTTCCTGTTTTATTATGGTCTCCAATTTTAATTACAAGTTTATTTCCATTAGTAATACCCTTCAAAACATGCTTCTTTTTCTCCAAACACTGACTGTCTATCAGGATAACCAATAAATGTCCTGTCAGGCTAAGCTTAAGTTGGATTAACTTCATGCTTGATGGATCTTAGTTTGATTTACACCAAAAGAGAAAAAGTTTATCATCATTTTAAAAAGACTATCAGGCTTAAAATGTTATTAAGAG